AATAACACATTTCATGAGCAATCCGTGGCTCGCTGCGGAACATTTTAAGCTGTTGCTCTGTTTTATATTTACAGCTACAAGCCCTCGTCTCAATATTGAATTCAGTTGCGTATGTAACACACGGCGCGGCGGCGGTAGACTTTAGGGAGGTGAAATAAAACATTAGTTGACTGTAAGAAGTTTTATCATAGCGTGGAGCATTTTACACCGAACGAAATAAATTCACTTTATACTATTCGTAATACATTTTAATAATTAAAAATTGTATCAAAATACAAACAATAAACAATTGGGAATACAACTTGTATAATGTATTTTGAATCACCCGCAAAAAAAAAATTCACGTTCAATTAAAAAAAAACTTTAGAATTAGTTGTATTCATTGGAATAATTAATATGTATTTGCAATATTTTGGTGTGTGATAATATAAAATAAGAATTATCCACTACGGTTGAATGCAGCAAATGTAAACTTTTCCTTCCTCTCACTTTGATATACTTTACCAGAACAGATCGTAAGCAAGGATTTCAAATTCATACCAATGATATGTTTGAAATGGATTTATTTAAATTGGAAATCTTTGTATAATAAACAATTGTGTGAAATTAAATATCAATTTAATGTCCTGTGTAGAGGAGACACGAGTTTTACTGACATAACGCACAGACACAAGCACACACAGACGCGCGCGCACGTACGTGCGCACACATTCACACACGCACACACGCACGCACGCACGCCCGCACGCACGCACACACACACACACACGCGCGCGCGCGCACGCACGCACACACACACGCGCGCGCACGCACGCACGCACGCACACACACACGCGCGCGCACGCACGCACACACACACACGCGCCGCAGCACCGCGGCACGCACACACACACAGGCGCGCGCGCACGCACAACCTAGGGCTGCCACCGTTACTGTTGAGATGAGAAATCGTAGTATTTTCATTATTGCTATAACAGGTTAGTCAAGTCGACAATCACAAATTAACGCTATTAGAGCGCTAAATTAACAAAAAAAAAATAAAATTTATGAATTAAATTAATAAAAAGTCACGCGACTTAACTCAACTTGGCTAGCTCCGCAGTTCTTAATAAATTAGGCGCATGGCATAAACTAAAATAGTTTATTTATTAACAATTTTAATAGTATTTTAAGACGAAAAATATTAACTAAATATTACTGGCTTTCAAAATATATAATACATATATACAGTTATTGCTATACTTATATTTGTATAGCTTATTTATCTGAAAAATTTATTTATATAGTTAATTATCAACATGTTGTTTTTAATTACCTTGTTTATTTTATTTCTACTCTATATTTGGATGTTTGTTTTTACAGTTCGTTTTTTTTATTCCCTTTTGGGAATACAAAAAAAAAACGATTAAATAATTCGTTTCATAAAGAAAGGTGGCAGCCCTATCACAGTAAGGCTGTGGAACACAGGCCTCCGTGCGCAGTGCATACATTATGTTACAAACGTTGCAGGTGAGAGTGAAAGAATATCACAGCACTTCTGCATCGGGTGATCTACAGACGGTTGGTGACTGCGCTATAATACAATTACAATTAGCCCTATGTTATTAGAAAAATATGAAGACGCAGTCCTCAGCGACCATTGGGCTCCGCTAACATACAAGTACGCGCGTTCTATTACAACTATTATTACAAAATACTCAGTTTTTACAAAGTTTATACATTGATTGGTCGAACTCGTTCAACTCGTGGCTAGCTAGAGCTCGCTGCCGACTCACATACATTACACTAAGAGACCGTCAATGATAGACCTTCCTTATTTTATAAAAGCCCTAGGAACGATGGGCTACTGTGAAGTTTGGATCATCGTAGCTTTGCCAGGTAACGGATAGCAAAGGTGTATAAAATAGCTATAATTTCTTCGGAATAATATTAGAAATCACGTCACCCGTTGCCTGACAGTGTCGTGCGAACCTCTTGCCAGACGTCCGTAAACTTTTAATAAATTGTAACTTGTACTTACGTAATAGTATAAACTTTGATTTAATTTAATTTTTTTTTATAGAATGAGGGTGACTAACGAGCACACAGTCCACCTGATGGTAAGTTGTTGCTGTGTCCCATAAACTAAGATGGAGTGCCTCCTTTCCAGTAAGAAGGGTCTCCGGTTCTCCGCTCACTCACTCACTCACAATACGAAACACAGCAGCGTTAAGACGACACATCGAAAAAGGGGCTCCGGGCTATCGCCGTACTGATCCGAGTGAATACATAATTTCTATAAAAACTTGAAAAAACGCTGTCATAAGGTCTAAAGTTGCGTAGCTCTCGCGACGATTAAAAGCACTTAGAAATGGTCAGAATCTTAAAATATTTTTTTAAATTATTGATTTAAGTAATCAAAATAATGAGCAAGTAAATTATAAATATTGATGTTATGAATATATTTGAGTGATTCCCAAGCATATAGCTTAAGTAATTTCGTTGTAATTTCAACTAAAGTGATTTTTTAGAGGTGTTTTCGCAAATAATTATGATCAAGTCAAAATTATACAACCGTCTTTTTTGAACAATCAAATTCAAGATAAAGACATGAATTTACCTATATCAAAATTCCACTTTCGTTAGTGGTGTCATAGTCTTATACTATTCGATGAAAGGAGATGCATTTTTTCGCGGTGTCGCCTTAAGCTGCTATTTTACGCTGGTATTCATTATAACTATTAGAAGATGTTTTCTCAGTAGCCAGAGTGAGTTCTAACACTTGGTCAGACAAAAGTAACATAGGGTAGCTGTAGGTGCGGGCGCGAGGATATGTACATCCGAGTAAGAAAATATTTGGACTGATAGGATAATTTTAATATGTTTATTACTAAAAAAAAACAATGTTTTACAATTATTGACTATAATTTCACTGCGATAATTGGGTCAAATATAAACCTAATATAATTTATTTAAAAACAAAGTTCATGTGAACTTTATTTTTTAAATTAAATTTAATACAAATTTCAACATTACATCAATTTTGATCGTTTATTATGTATTATGTATGTATTCATTCGCCATTATAAAAAAAGGAAATGTATGTATAAGGTAATTGATTTTAACAGTAATATTCATTACTTAACAGTTATACATATAGATACGAGTATGATAGTAAATGATTTTATGCATTTGCATCATGACGAGGATATCTTCCTTGTCTATTAGTATACTTGCTTTTTTTTTGTTTCTTTTTCATTTTCGGTTTCAAAGGTTTTTTTAGAACTTTTAGATTCTGAGGTTAAAAATTGTTTCATGAGTCCTGTCAATGATTTATAACATACCCTGCGATAGTTACTGTCCGTGTATTAATTTGGTGAAATAATGTCTGTGTTTTTGAATTTATGTATTATTCGAAGTCTCAAAATTACTTGACATTTTTTCAGTCCCTTCAAAAATAATGTTAAAAAGGCGAGCTTTATGTTGTAAGCTAATGCTGTATGACATTCTCCGCCAGCTAACCTTGGGTAGAACAGAGTGTGAGTGCTGGGCAGTTGAGATTTCATGATCATATATAATGCTAATTTGGTCGATAAACTTTCGCCCATTTCCGACTCTTCCATTCACTTCTGCAACATAAATTTGCTTTGTCACTCTTTCCTCATTCATTTTCTCTACATGATCAAACACCGAAGCATTCCTTTCCTAATCCTGGTCATATCATCTTGCAAACCACACTTTTATCACACAATTTCTCACCTTGTCACTCAGAGTATGTTATACTTCTTAATGACTGCATTTATTCTACTATCGTGCTTCTTCTGCCACACCCAACTTTCACTACTGTATGTTACAGAAGGGACTAACATAGCACTGTGAATTGCCATATATGCCTATTTTGACTTTCCACAATAGAGTTTAGAGCCCCATTTATTTTATTTTTTGTGTTCAATAATTATCTATATTAAATATAAAAGTGGATGTTTCTATATATGAAATTGTTTAACTCAAAATCTATTTGATCGATCACCATGAATATTGGTGTACATATATGTAATTTTCAATGGAAAAGTTTTATATTTATAAACTAAAAAAGTTGTATGGAAGTAATGTGAAAGAATTTACCAAAATTATATTGAAATTGAATCACATTTATTTTATAAACTGCATAATCAAATAGTAAAACGTATACTGCACGTGTATATATAAGACTGAGTAAAAGGAAAAGAAATAAAAGGATGCGTAGTGAAGCGTCGCAAAATACCTTACTCACTATCCCACTGGCATCCATCCACTCCTGGCCTAAACTGTATGGCTACTGAGGAAACACGTTCTAGTAGATACCCAAGTAACATATTATATAACATTCAGTTTTAATACTATAACGTAAGTACAGCTACAATTTACTAGTTTAAGGATATCTACCAAGATGTTACCACGATACTAAGGGTCTAGAAATGGATGACGTGATTACTAATTTTATCCCGAAGAAAATATAAGAAAATTCTTTACATAAAAACTTTATAATTTGATAAACTATTTTATACATCTTTTTTCTGGCAAAGCTTCGATGATCCAAACTGCACAGTAGTCCATAGTTCCTACCTATGTAGGAACATACGCATACGTATGCGGAGCAGACGCTGCAATATTTTCAGCTTTTATAAAATAAGGAAGGTTTGGCGATCCCGGGCTCTCGCTCTTCAATATGCGACACCAGAAATTGTAAAATATAGGAATAATTTCTTTATTTCTGCTCGCACTACGGCACCACACGCTGGCATGAGCGCCGGCGAGCGATGAATGCGTCTATAGAAAAACAATATTTTTTTCTAGGAAATTATTATTTTTAATAATTTAAGTTCTTTACAATAAACACGTTACAAAACACTGTACCCTTACAACTGACCAATGACGATGATTGTAATAATGAACCTTTTCTAATACAAATGGTGTTCGTGTGTATGGGTGAGGTGGGGCGCGGGCTACCGAACCAGTGTTGCCCGGCCCCACGCCGTCTCCTAGTCGTCCGACATGAACGAGTTCTGCGACTTGAGCTCCTCCAGCCGCGAGATCTGCTGCCGCAGGTACATGATCCTGCAGACACATAGCCACTGTACACCACTGCCACTGCACTATACACGTGTAAACACACGTATACATAGCCAGAGTAAATTACCAAATAATTTGACGTGATTTTCTATGTCTTAAGCATGCATGAGCAATGAAACTCTAGAATTGTACACAAAACCGAAAGAGATTACGTAACTTTTTTATTAATTGAAACATATAAATAATACACACGCACAATCATACACATACGCGCGCGCGCGCACGTGCGCGCACGCATACGAACACGCACAGACACACACACAGCGAGAGAGAGAGAGAGAGAGAAAGAGAGTGTAGAATGTACCTGAGACTAATAATTATTTACACTTGTTAAAAATTAGATTGATCTGTAGTTGTAAAATATTTTAAGTACTGTATAAGTGGAATGTCGTCGATCAGTGGCGAAGTCTCCATAGAAGCCGAAATGCCAGGCTTGCCTTTTCAATCTGCTCAATCAATAATATCAACTAATGAAATAACTCATAATTTGTTTCAAACTATTTGAAACTTCCCGCGCGCTCCTTTGTTCTAAACAGGTCATGACCTCGTAGCATATATGTAGCGTCAACACTTGGCAGTTTGCTTTCAATTCGAAATACACTGATTCGTGTTCTCTCTGTCTGAAAGCGAACACGCAATTGACTATCAAAATTAATTAAAGCAAAGAGTTCATTAGAGCTATTAGTCGTCACTCTCGCAGGCGTTGGCTTTTTACTGGACTTTCGAGAAAACGATCCCTCCCTTTCTAACCTGTGTAAAAATGTTCTATAATGAAATATAACTACGAAATGTTTATACAGCAATTACTATGGAACCAAAAGCTGGGCTTTGCTCTGAAATTGGTTCGGAGTGCGGGCGATACGTTTGCAAGATCACTTCACATTGCAATGTGTATGTTTTTTTTTTATTGTGTTTGTTGAAAATTTATGCTTTTTCAAAAAAAATGTAAAAATGGTGGATACTATTGGAGTATATAGTGTAGATCAGGGTGTATATATAGAGGAGCGTTTTTTGTGATTAATTGAAGTGTGTTAAATTGTTAATCGGCGAGGAAAAGGTAAAATCTTTAAACTTTGTTGAGACAATACACAAGGAACAAATAACAAAATACATATAGGCAGTTCGTAGTTGAACATAGGCCTATCCCATAGACTGCTTCTTTGGAAGGATTATGCCATAGTTGCCACGCTTGGCAGTTTTCTTATTTCTTATAATTTAGATTTTTTATTAGAAAGACGCTGCTGCCATCTTTTGTTTTAATTTTTCTCTACAGTTATTTTGACACCCATGGATCAATATAAGATAGTGGATATTTTTTCACCGCCTCCACACAGTTAGTGATGGAGAAGGAAGCGTTTGCTGTCGCCAGCACACTGGCAAAGAGACTAGTGGGCGTGTGTGAATGGGTAGGGGTGGTGGTGAGGATGGTAGCTGGTGGTGGCACTCACTTCTGCTCTTGCAGCGTGGCCTGTATCTCGGTGTGGCGCACGAGCGAGCGCGCGCACTTGAGCTCTGCAGAGACGCGCGTGCACTGCAGGCAGCCCAGCTGGTACGCCTCCTCAGTGAACTTGTTCGCCTGCAATGTACCAACCACTATGATGATTTTCTAGGCATTGAGTAATTTTCTGTTAATTTTATATAATACTTACAAATTAAACAGTATAATTTCATGGTTTACATACTTTTCATCAATGATTTATCTAACAAAGATAAATATTGATATAAATGACAAGATATGGCCGTGCAAACAAAAATTGTTCACGGTTTAAGCATAGAATAAATCAGCGCTATCTCTTAAATACTCATGAACTACCACGGAACCAGTAATTTCACTTATGATTTTGGTTTTACCCTAGAAACTATAGAAATACTCACTAAATTAACGTAAAAAATTGAAATAGCCTTATTTATTGCACCTAATTTTCAATATTTTAAAGAACAACATCATTGCAAGATTTGAATATCATTTCACGGCATTGAAGTAATATGTACTTACGTACTAGAACAGCTATTTCCAACAAAAAATATGTGCTACTCTGTCTTCGCGCGGTTGTTTTTTTTATCATAGAATAAACATAGGTAGAATGATCCGTAGGTAATACTAGATTGTATTGTTAAATAGGTAAATAAAATTTAAATATCGAGAACAATATTTAAATTTTGTCATTTATTTTGTATATTATATTTGCTTATTTATTTTATATTACATAATATTATATCACAATTACATTTTAATGATATTTTTATCTGAATATTTTAAAAGGTATCTTTGTCAAATATAAACAAACATACAAAATGTATGTTTAACAAAACTTATTAACATAACATTTAAATTACAAATATATTTATTTAAATTATAATAAGAGTCGTTCATAAATGCTGGGCACGCGAGAGTTAAAAATGGATGAATTTATTCCACTTTGACTTTGATGTGGAAACCTAAAAATAAAATAAAAGAATAATAAGCAGATTTAAATACGAAAAATTTAGCGTAATTATAATCTTATATATTATGTTTCTACAAAAAAATGTGTATAATAATATATTCGTCCTATACTTAAGTACCCACAGAAATGTCGCATCTGAACATATTAATTTTATAATCTATATTCCATGACACGAAATGGTGTCTTATGAATAATGTTTTATTATTAATCTAGAATACTTTTTTATTGATTAAGTATCTTATTAACCGACGAAAAGTAATTCATTAGTTTTTACTGACATTTCTTGAATTATTTGTGCAATATCCAAGTAAACACGACGGCATATGTTTATCAAAAGATTTTTTTAAATCAAAAAAACACGTAACAACTCTACAAGCGTCTAGCGAGTGACTAGATTAAAATGCGGTGTATGCACCGCAGTTGAGTGGAACAAAGTAGCTGAATGCAGTGTCGCCTCTAGTACGTAGTACATAATAGCTCAATGTTTCACGGTTAAAAACTTGAGTTTTGTGATGAAAAAGACTATAATAACACCTAGTCTCATAATAAATGATAAATATGTGACGATGTGACGACTCCGTAGCGCAGTGGCTTAGCAATGAGTGGCTGCGCTGGGGGTCGCGGGTTCGAATCCCGCACGGAACATGTATTTGTATGGCCTACAAATAGTTGTTCCGGGTCTGGATGTTTGTCCTCGTGCAATTTATGTTTGTAAACTGCCCCCACGATACAGGAAAAAATCTTAGTGTAGGGGTAACGTTTTTTTAAAGAAAAAAACTCTTTTGACGTTTTTTTTCACCAACCCTACCTTTCTTCCAAAAACCTGGGCGGTCCAAGGGGGCTTTCCAATTAAAGCTTGTTTAATAAAAGGCTCTTTCAAAAACTACACATACGTTAAGGTTTTATTTTGCTGCACAAAAGCTTACAATCTATTATAATTTTAAGATAAGATACTACCTATTACTATATGCAGAGTACCATGCGCATTGTTTAGGCTATGGCAGAATACCAGGGTCTGTGGGTCTCCTACATTCACTGAGCCATAGACCATTTTATCTCTCCAAATTTGTAATTTTTTGAGACAATAAAGACTTTTATTATTATTAGTAGTAGATTTACCCTAAAATAGTGCAAAATATCTAAAAGTGGAAACACTACACGGACGCACGGCACCCATTGTCACGCAACGGTGGTCGCGTTGGTGCTCCATAAACATTTTAGCACCATAGTCGATGCCATTTTGTTTATTCAATGACCCGGTCCATACGCAGTATAATAAGTCTATGAATAGGTCTATTTTCTGCAGTGAATTTCGGAAAATAAGTTTAATATTACACTATCCGAAGTTTAGAAGAGCAAAGTTGCGTGGGTTAGGTAGTTCATATTATTAAACTAAACATACCACCACGCTACACTATTGCAATTCCACGACTACGGCACGAATGTGTTGGCTCGATCAGGGAAGAAACATGCTACCATAAATAACAGTATAAAACAGCAGTTTAATAGTGCTGTGTTTCTTATGGTAAGTGTAGACAATCAGAGACCCTTTTTACTGGAAACGATGTTTTCTATCTTACTACTCCACTCCCAGGTTGATTTTGAATCAAAAACACATGTACATATCTATAGGCAACAGCATCCACGTACCATCAGGAGGATTGTGACCATTGGGTAACCTTATCCTATAAAAACTAACTACTGTCAAAGACTAAGCCTTTAGTGGTGACAACGCACCTGAATTCTTAATTAAAGTCGGTTGTAAATATCAAAAAAAAGTTGCTCCTGGGTTATGCCCTGAAATTAAAACCTTAGATCGACGCACGCGCTATCTAGTAGTGTCTGAGTGCATAATAGAGTTCGCTTCGCTTCGGTCCTTTTGAAAATTATAACGTTATGTAGTGTATAGGCCTTGCATTCGAATATTCGAATAATTCGAATAATATAGCTTGTCCAAATATTCGAATATTAAATCCGCTATATTCGAATATTGAACCCATTTTCTGAAAGCCAAACTTGGAATATTGAGTTGTACAAAATATTACTTTTAAGATTCGCGCGCGATATTTCGGTTATAGGGTGCGTCGCGCCGGTGTTTCAGTGCGGTGGTGTTGGTAGTTTAGCGCCTTTGCTATTTGTCTGCCATCTGCATTTTGTGCGCGTGCAGTGTGGACGGCGGAGCGTGGTTATAATTTTGTTGTTTATCATCGAGGTTTTAGTCTTTTTGAGTGAGTTTTGTATGCCAACGGCCTACTTGTCTACGAGTACTCGTCTACTATCCAAAAAAGGAATTACTTAATATTTTGAAGGGCAAGTTAGCATCCTAAGATGTATCTTTGGAAGAGGACGTATCATTCGTAGTGACTGTAAGAGTTGTTTTGCACATGGTATCCAATGTGCAGCGCTGGATGCTATTTACAAAAGGAATCAAGATGAGCAAGAAGAAGAAGGGGAAGAATCTGAAGGTAGCAAAGAGTAAACAAATGCGGATACTGACTCTAACAGTGATAGTGAGGGAGGAGAATTTGCAGTTGAGCAACATCTGAACAAAGGCCGAGACCTACATTTATACGGGGATGTGAATTTAAAAATGTAATAGAGTAAGTGCGAAAAGTAGTTAAAATTTTAGGAAGTCACCCACCAGAAAAGAGATTCCCGATATTTATCTTCAAGAAGAGCAGAATAAAATGGGTTCGATCTTAGACTGTATAACGAGGTGGAGCAGTTTAGCCGATATTATCACAAGATTTTTGGCATTGAAAGACCCTATTTTAAAGATTTTAGGCGTTAGGTTTAGGTTTATTTTAAAGCGTTTAGTTTAGGTGAGCTAGCTTTGCTGCAGGAATTGTCCACTTCTTTGAATATTGTAAAGGCAACAGTAGAGGCGTTGTGCCAAGAAAATGCAAATCTGCTTACTGCGGAAACAGCCCTTCAATTCCTTGGTGACAGTGACAGGCTACTCGAAGCTCTGAAGAATAGAATTGCTCAGAGACGCCTACCAAATTTAATCTGCGCATTATTTCCACAATCCCAGTAAATATTACGCAGAGCCACCTTCGTCTATCTTTCTATTACGAGGCAATAACATTATTACAGAAGTAATAACTGAAATTAACGACAGATATTTTTCTAAAAGACAGCACTCTGTTAATGACGAAGATGACATAACCTTAGTTCAACTTAGGGCAACATATTTGCAATAAGTTTTATAGAAGAGTTACAAAAAGCGATATATGACACTAATTCCGCAACTCCTTTGAGGTCTATAGCAAATTTATCAGATAAAGTTCGAAACGTCAGTGTGAATGCAGATGGCGCTATTTGACAGAGGAGGTCCTAGACAAGTTCATTTGAGCCAAGCCATGTGTATACCACCCACAAGTGTAGAGTGTGAAATGGAATTTTCATCAACTAAATACATTTGCAACCATTTAAGATGTGCTTTAAAAGGTGATTCCCTAGATGCGCTAAGTTTCCTTAGATCCCACTTACAAGAAGAACGTTAAAGATTTTTTTTATTGTAGAATATGCTAGTACTTGACGACAATCATGCTTGGAAGAAAGCAGTGGTGAGGTCTAAGTTGAAACGCGCTTGCCTAGAAGATACCTATTCACTTTTGCCTTGAAGGTACGGTTGTACGTGTAAGTGTAAGAATAAGCCAAAGTTAAATGATAAGATTAAAACGTATTTTTACTTTTGTACAATGTGGCATTGATCTGATTCTGATCTCATAAATTCTAATACTGCTTAATTATTTGTATTCCATCACAGTTGAAAATCTTTCTTTTAAATCTTTTAAGTTTTGTAAGTAAGTAATATATAAGTTTGTAATGATTTAATTATTATATACATATTATGACAATACTCAGAACTCGATTTATAAGACTTTTGTGTAACTGTGTTGTGGTTGTCTTGTTAAGCACCAACTTTTTATAGTTTTTTATAGGACTGCATTAAGGCTATAACAGTGAAATTCCAAGCAGTTCTTTAATTCTTAACTATGATTTTGTTTGGATAAAATGAAATTAGACTCTAAGTAAGACAATGGCAATAAAAATATGATTTATAACAGCTTTTGTTTTTTTCTTTAATTATTCGAATATTATTCGAATATTACCCGAAAAAAGTCGAATATTCGAATACCAAAAATTTTCGAATATTTGCAAGCCCTAGTAGTGTAGCTCCCACAACAATATATATTATATAAGATAGTAGTCTAATTAAAGATCTAGAAACAGACACATGTCTGTCTCCCTTATTGAAACTCTCCAACTTTCGTGTGTGTGTATGTGAGAGGAAGAGGGAGAGAGAGATAGAGAAAGAATTTATTTTGCTTCGCTTCTGCCCTTTTGAACATGAAATGGTACCGCAGTATACGTGTGAATTGACGCACGCGCTCGCTCACACATACGTACGCGTGGGTGATGTACGTATGTGAACGTGTACCTGAGTGTGTATGAGATGGAGACAGAGTGTGCTGTAATACCTGTTTCTCAAGTATGTCGGCGGGCCAACCGGTGACGTGGGCGGTGAGGTCTCCGCGCACGTAGTTGATGAGCGATGGCGTCAGCATAGGCGCCGCGTGCTGCAGGTTGCCACCCACCACCGACGAGTAGCTGCCCAAGCACTCCACTGTAGCATACAAAGCATACATTGCGCTCAAACACATGGCACCAAGTGTTGCATAATTTAAAAAAAATTAGTGTGCAGTGCACACGCGCTGAAAATTGAACCTTCAGAAAAGTAGACCGTGATAATAAGAAGTACTGTACCTATACTTGTATTCTATTTTATCTTCTCGCAGGCTTAAATCTATAGATGTGTACGTTTGTTTCGACGACAATTCTAAAGAAGTTTTCACTTCAATAATTTTAAGAATAAATATTTGATAAATAAGTTTTATCTGAAGATCGAATACTCAGCGCGTATTGGTTATTATTACTTATTACATATTTAAATTAAAAGTAGCAAGTTTTGTAAATCTGTATCATGTAACCAGTAGGAGAGAAGAAACAACTTACTCTTCCTGGGCAGCGCGGCATCAAGGTGAAGCGGCGGCGCGTGCGGGTCGATGCTCTCAGAGTGCGTGGGCGTGGGCGGGCCGGCGTCGCGGTGCGGCGTGTCCGACCCGCTGCCCGCGCCGCACACGACGCCGCCCGCTCCACCGCCCGCCACGCCGCACGCCGCCGGCGACACGCCGCCGTTGTTCGTAGTCGGGGCCGCCACGATACGCGGGAGTGCCGCCGCTAGCAGCGAGCCCGTCTGCAACGTCACCTTATTTATATAACTGGCAGTTGTACTTTACCACCACAAAACCACAAATCTAGTGTAGTTAATTGATAATAACAGTAATACACGTTTATCCGACATTGAGGCATAAGAATATAGAATGTTATAATTTAAAATTTAAAAATCTGGAATCTTCTACAAGGCACATCGCGGATGGTAGTTTGGAATTGGAATTTGGATTGGAAAAATAATAAACCATGCAAATTCTGAAACAGTTTCAATACTGTTCATTTCATAACCTTATTTAGTTTTAAAAATAAGGAAAAAGTTTTTATTTTATTCCACACGACGTCATTAAATGTGAGCTGAAAAAATTCACCAAACATATAAAACACAGATAATATATTAGGCCGCCGACGACGCAAGTATGACTTGATCATCGGCGTACAAAAGACATTTGATAGTTAACTCACCCATTCTTAATCCGCATTCTTCAACTTTCAAATTTTCCAAACAACTGTCCATAAATAAGTTGAACAGCCACGGGGAAGCCACACAGCCCTGTCTGACACCTTTATGGATGCCAAACCAGTCCGAGTAGGCCCCGTTGATTCTAATACAAGCACTCGAGTCCCTATACAGAGACTTTAATGCCTGTATTAAACCAGCGCTCAACCTAAATGCGTTCAGCGTTTGCCATAACACATCCCTGTCTACTCTGTCATAAGCCTTTTCCAAGTCCATGAACGCAAAAAAAACTTTGTGGTTTTTCGCCAAAAACTTCTCCGCGATCATGCGCATGGAAAAGACTTGATCTGTACACTCCATTCCCTTTCTAAATCCCGCTTGCACATCCCAAATTTTTTTATCAGTTTCTTTCATAAATCTTTCAATTAGTATTTTAGCATACACTTTTCCCACAATGCTAAGAAGGCTGATACCACGGTAGTTTTTACAGTCCTGCTGTGACCTTTTTCCCTTATATATTGGGACTATCACGGCTTTGCACGAGTCTCCCGGTACCCGCTTTAGTTCCCAACATAAATTAAACAAGGTGTACAGCAGGCCTGCCACCACGTCCTCTCCAGCCCTTAGCATTTCGAGTGAAACTCTATCATATCTGGCTGCCTTATCTACTTTCATGTTTTTCATTGCTTTTATTATTTCATCTATACTTATCTCCCCATCTCTTTCATCTTCTTTTGGAATTTCTATTTCTTTTTGTTCACACGTCTCCTCACTCATAAATACGCTTTCAAAATATTCTTTCCATCTCTTTAGATTCAACACTTCATCATTTAGAATACAGCCATTCTCGTCTCGTGTCGCATTCAATCTAGGCTGTTTTGAATGTCCCCCTGGTATTTCTTACGAGTTTCCAGAACATTTTAATATTTGCCTGGAAGTTATCCGATATTCTTCTATCATTCTTATCCGTTTTTTCTTGCTTTTTTCATTCAACTAATTCTTTTACTCTCTTATTTAGATGTTTAAACTCTGCCTTTGTTCTTTCAATCTCATCATCCTTACCGCCAGAATTACCAGCTTTGGTTGCTAGTAAATCTAGCCATGCTCTCTTCTTTGCTTCAACTTCTATATGTACCTCATCATCCCACCATAACGTATTGTCTTTCCTTTCATTCGTTCTCTTACTTATACCACATATTTCGGTAGCTGCATCCACTAAACCTTTCTTAACATTATGCTACACATTCTCCAAGTCTAACTCATTCACACACAACTCATCCAATTTACTTATAGTTTCTCTCAGTCTACATTTGTACTTGTCTTTCACATCTTCATCTCATAACCTCTCAATTCTTATACGCTGTAACGCAGTGGTAGACACAGATGTCCGATGCCGCCAACGTCTGAATAAACCCCTAATTCGGCATAAGACCAGGTAGTGGACCGTCCCTACGTTGGACCACCGGTAAACCCTTGTATCCACCACTGCGCTCCTCATTCTTTCATCCACAGTTATGAAATCTATCATGCTTCTATCATCACCTCTTTCCCATGTATACATGAGAATCTTCTTATGACGAAAGAAAGTGTTCGTCACAAAAAGATTCCTTTCCAGACATACGGGAGGAGGCTTTCACCATTCTCATTAATACTTTCATCACCAAACATTTCCAGTATCCTTTCATAGCCAAGCCTCCTCACCCCAACCCTTCCATTAAAATCTCCTAACATAACAATATTTTCATTTTCCTTACATTTCATTAACACCATCCTTACCATCTCCCAAAACTGCTCTCGGATATAAGTGGGCTTAGACATGTCTGGGGCGTAGACCCCTAGAACAAACAACTTCTTTAGGGCCACTTTTATTCATATCCATAGCAGTATCGGGCTTACACATCCATACTCTTTCACACATTGACCCATTCTTTCTGAAACTGAGCTGGTATTACTACACAATACCCTTATTTATCAAAGTTTGCCAAAATCCATCTTTTAACACCCTGCAGCAGTGTGTACAACGAAAACTTTTTCTGAAGCTGGCGCAACCGCGCTTGTTATCTTTCAGTGCAGATAAATTAGTATTTCTTCGCCATAATTTGCCCTTAGCTTAATATTATTTATTTTGTGCCGTACTGCACGTACGAGTACTAATTTTATAAGTTTGAAAATGAAAATTTTGTGATTACTAGCTATATTTGATGATTGATGAGCCGTGGTATCTCAGATGGTTAACCCTGGCTGTAAATATTAACAGAACGCGAGTAACCCGGGTTCGATCCCCGCCGGCACCAAAGAAATTGTTTAATTGCAATTTTAAGTGCTGATTTACCACGTGCTCGGCGGTGAAGGAAAACATCGTGAGGAAACCCGCATAGATAGATAGATAGATAGAAAATTCTTTATTGCACTCAAACAAAACAATTTGGTACAAAGGCGAACTTAATACCGAAAAGGCATTCTATGCCAGCTAACCTTCATGTCTGAGGAATAAGAAGAAAAAATATTTTGAAGACATGTGAAGTTCGCCAACACGCATTGGGGCAGCGCGGCGGACACTTTTTGCCCTAAAACCCTCTCAGAAATGAGGAGAGGCCTGTGCCTAAAAGTGGGACGTATAAAGGCTGTAACTTTACTTAGTTATATTTGTTAAGTGACATAAATATAGTATTTAACAAAATTTGATATTTTGTGTTTTTTTTAATCTGGTACCAGCCGGATAGTAATTTAGGCCAGACAGGCCTAATGAGGCTCATGATTTCCTCCACTTCCTTATCGGAATGTGCCAAATTTGATGCGTAAACATGTATGACCTTCAACGAATACCGTTTGGTGATTCTGAGTATAAGGTACGCAACCCTCGTCGACACACTCCCAATCTTTACAACATTGTTAACGAGAGACTTGTGGAAGAGAAATCCGACACCTCCTTAGGACAGATGGTCGCCCTCCCGTGATAGAACAAATTGCCGGATTCAAAGATTACCGTGTCCTCCACCTCTCTTCGGACCGCAGATAATCCTATAATATCCCAGCGCAACCTGTCTACCTCTTCTTCCAACTCTAGGATCTTCTCGTCAGTCTTCAGCGTGCATGCGTTATACGTTGCCAGGTCGGATCGTCATAGGTGGCAGCCGAACCTCCACCGGAGATTCTTAGCACCCCTGCCCCGGCGTTACCATGGTCGGCACCGTATAATAGCGGGGCTGCCGGGGACTGGGGGCCGTTTATATTTATGTCATTGCTCATTGGGGTTATATTGCCACAGTTGCCACGCTTGGCGAGCGAGTTGGCTACCGCAATTTTTTTACTGCGTTTTGCTGTTATCAGAAAGACGCTACTGCCCATCTTCTGCCGCAGCTTCCTTCTGTCGCTTCTTACGACACCCACGGGAAGATATGGGCTAGTGGGTATTCTTACCTGCCACTACACCATTTCCTTATATAATAAAGTTTAATCATTATCTTACTTAAATACTTTTTAAAAATAGAATATGGGTCACAAACGAGCACACAGTCCACCTGATGGTAAATGGATTCTGTGGCCCATAGAGATCTACATTTACGCCCAATAAAGAATCAAAATTCAGATGCAACGCACCCTGAGGACCAAGATGGAAACCCTTGTTCTCAGGGTCTTCGTTTCTCGACACTCACTATACGGTACACAGCAGTAGCTGCTATTTCCGCTGGTATTGTGAGAGCGTGATCTTTCCCTGGTCGAGTCAACCCATTCGTGCTACAAATATAATAAAATGTGTGTTGTGTTAGTTGCCGGGAAACGCTTACCGTGTTGTTGGAGTTGTCGAGTACGACGACGGGCGGCACGTTGTCTGGCGCGTGTCGCGAAGGCACGCGCGCGCCGTACGAGCCCTCCGACACCGGGGTGCTTCGCCCAGGCGAGATGTCCATGTCCTGCGCCTGCCCGTCTGCGACCCAAACCACACGCACATTCAATGCACAGCTCACTCAACGGTCCGCAGTAAGGTTTGCCGATCACAACTCCTTCGTAAATTGCGTCCCGCGCTTGTCTACTCATCGGGCTATGCGTTTCTACGATTACAAATGCTAATAAAAAACTATATCATTATAACTTTCAATAAAAAGTGAAAGCCAACTTCAAATAACAGATAAAAGAACTTTTAATGCCACCCCGATGCCCAAACACTCAAACATTGCTCAATTTTAAGAAACAGTTAAGTTTCGTATTTTTTACCGGAACGTTTCTTTCTGTATACCCTACTTAATAAAAAAACTAATTTTCAAAATTGGTTCTCAACTGACGAAGATATCATGTAACATACAAAAGAAAGAAACATAAATTCAAACTGTGTCCCCTTCTCCGTTTTTGAAGTCGGCTAAAAATGAAATCAGCGTTAAATCACGTGATTAGCGCTTACGATTGTATATAGTTAACTAAGTACAACCGCAAGCAACAGTTAATATTTGTTAACCGTTGCTTGCGGTTGTACTTAGTTGTGTAGTTGTAGTGTTAAAAGACTTGTGACGTCATTACGTTATCGGCAAACCTTCTGAGAGGGGGTTGTACAAGTGGCTCTTGGCTCACTTGCACGATGAGAACATTTTACACGTGCAACAATACGATATTTTGTTTTATTTCATTCGTAACTTATATATTATGTTTACATTTTAGCTTTCGTTTAGTATTTTTAAGCCGTATAGTCTAAGTTTTCTTCTTTCCATCTTTCAGAGAATATTTCCTCAATTTCGTTTATTACATAACAAACCAAATTTCGAAAGTAAACGTGACCTGACGTCGCTCAAACAGCGACGCAACATGTTGCCGTTTGTTGCCCTGAGTTTTGACCTTTATCGTGAAAACAAGGAAAGTTTTCAGTCGGATATTGGGAATTAAAATGTTACGAACACTGGGGCGCACACAGAAACAAATAATGGCCATAGGTTTTTGGGATGGAAGAAATCTTTTTGATTAAGAATTATGGTGAAATTCACCGTTCAAATATCAGTTTGTATGGGTTTTTTTCTATACACAGTGTGACCTATAGTGTTGTAAGAATTTCGAATGACTACTACATCTAGGAAATTAAAACGAAAAATTCATCCTTCACAGTTAGCTAACGTGGGAAAATCTTTGTTAAAGAGAGCACGAGGGATCTGTGACAGCAAACACCTGGCCGAGCTTCAGCACGTCAAGCAAGTTCTGCACGACAACAAGCATCGGGTCCCGCGCCTACGTCACAGTGACCGAATGAAGCCGGCCACAGTCGAGCGTTTGCCTACTGTACTACCATATATCAGAGGAGTCATAGACAAGATTTGATGGCTACATCCTGAAGCGAGCTTCTATTGGTACATTTTACAAGCCGCCGCATAAAATTAGCCAGTTCCTTTGATTATGTACCTGTCTTACCATCCGTCAAGTGTCATATTCTTCTACAAGATGCAGGAGTGTACAAGCTTGATTGTGAATGTGGTCTCTCATATATAGGGCAAACAAAAAGTTTTATTAGAACCCGCGTAAAAGAACATATAGCTGACGTGAAGCATCAACGTTCCGGGAAGTCTGCAGTTTGTGATCATATCTTAGGCGGCCTCAACTATTACATCAGATTTGACAGACCACAAATCCTCGCGAATGAACATCGATTCCTACCAAGGATGATACGTTAGACTATTGAAATAAAAAAAAGTTCAATAGAGAAGGAGGCTGGGTACTACCACATTGTTGGGACCCTGTAATTAATAAAATTAAAACTAAACCCAAGCATACCACTGCAAGACTTCAAGACACAGTAAGTTCTTTCTGCGTAGATCGGACCGTAAATAATAATTAAAAAGCTGAAGGTATTCTAGGTTAACACTGACATCTGGACGACAGGCACCTCAGCCTCCCGTAACCATGGGTGCTGGTAAGCACCCGAAACGTCGGGAATTAAAAATCAAATAAATTAAACGCGATAAACTCCGTGAAAGTAGTTTTAATCATCGAAAAGTAAGTAATTAAAGGGCACAAATATTTTTTGCTTAAGAGGATTGTGAAGCTGTAAATTTTCATACAAAAAGCGATAACGTTTTCCCATCCGTAAACATAGATTAATTTTCATAAACTTTGGATATGTTGTAGATTATATCTAAAAAACTAGGTCCGTACGTTTTAATTTTAAAGAAATATTAAGTACGATATAAGTTATTAGCATCTAAATATCTATATTTTTGACTTAAAAAATTTCTCGAGTGTTTTTATTTTTCTTAATTAAGGGGATAGAGTAAGTCAGCTCAAATTCTAATTTCGTCCCCACTTGCCCGCGCGTCGTATGCTATGTACCGACATGTTTGTAATCACTAATACTGTAAGTAGATAGGTCGTTAGATACTTATTTCATTAGGTTTATCATATTTATGCCTGTTTCTTAACGCCAAGCCAGTCGCTTCTTATTTTTATTACGGTTATTTCCCATTTTGATTTTACGTCGTCCTGTTGCGTTCAAAGGCCGAAACGAAGTGACCGTGCGGCAGGAATCACGCTCAAAATGCCGATAGTTTAGGTAATTTCTTTTTACAGAGAAAATAATGGTATTTAAAAAAAAGTAAATAACATAAGCACTGCTTTATAGTTAGTTCAGTTAGTATGCAAAGTCTCATGATCTTATTTATATATTAGTATTTTATGAATAACAGCGCTTTATTGTTTATTTTGGAGGTAACTTTGGATTTTTTTTTCTATCGAGAAAATTTTACGAAATCGAGTTTTCATCTAACATAATCCTTAACATTAATCCTCAACTTTACCATATATTTAATTCAAAATTAATGCTGCAATATTTTCGGCATAACGAAGGATCTTGCTAAGCCATATGAGATTATATCTCCCCTTAAACTAAACAGATTTACTAAAAAAGAAAAACGAGACCTAGACTAAGGTGTACTGAATCTAATGAGACTAAAATTATCTCATTTCGTAAAGGTTTAGGGGGGTAAAAATGTTATCGCCCGAAACACTATTTCAATAAAGAAATGTAGGCAATTGCTTCCAAGACTTGCAACTCTCTCTATTGCACGATACGGGTCGGGAGGCAGGGGTATATACGCATACTGATGTAGTTGTGGTTTGTTGTTATTAGATATACGATATATGTATAGATTTGACGGCTACGTGTCGCAGTAGCTTAGCAATGAGTTATAGCTGAGGGCCGCAGGTTCGAATCCCGCACGGTACAAGTATTTGTATGGCCTACAAGTAATTGTTCTGGGTTGTCCTTGTGCAATTTATGAATGTAAACTGCCTCCACGATATAGGAGAAAATCCTAGTGTGCGTAGTAGTAACGTAAAAAAAATAAAAACTTAAAAAAAAATATTATTACGGTCTAGGGAGAAGAAAATAATATCGAAAACCTACACAAATACTTCTTAAAAAAATTCTTATAAAAAAATTAATATCTGTGAATAACTTCATTGATTAGGTATTTAGTCTTTTTATTTTAGAATCTTTATTGAATAAGGACTGTAACTTAAAAAGGATTTCGTGATTACACTTAATTAGGTAGGTGAATAAATAAAAAGTAACAACTTGTGAAATTTATTTTTTTATTACTACACATTACTTTATTACACTCTTTCTCGAGCTGCCATATTTCTAGGTACTCGAGGGTCAATCACTTTTGGTAATAAACACTGAAAATAAAATTAGTTATGTTTTGGTGCATTTTTTCTGTCCAAAAGTGGTCATCGTACTTAATTTTTTCATACGCCAAAACATGTGGCGTCCATACTACGAAAAAACTAAATTGCCTACCAGTGATATGTAATTTTCCCTGGACGTGATAATAGTAATCATGATTTCTTTTTAAAATCATATGTCCTTCTCGTATCGTTTTTTCAGTTATGGCCTCCAGAGGTGGCATATTAGAAGCAGAAATAGGACATATGACTTCAATTAGAGAGTCATCTCCGATAAGTCTATCGAGACATGCCCGTAAATAATAATCATCTTAATCAATAAACAGTCCATACACCGAAACTTTTAGATTGGTAGTTGTGGAAAATTCTCGTATGGCCTCCGATTTGTGTTGGTTTCCATATTCGGTTGCCTATTTTTTGTTAAGTTTTTAGTGTAGAAGAATTATTTGGGGACAGTTTGCGATTTTTCCAAATTTATATGCAGATCTTTAAGCCGTAAACGGACGCGACTCTCCGTGGCAGAACGGAGGGAGCAGCAGAAAGGGGGACGCAAACTCTTTTTCTTGTGGGTACTAGTACGTAACCTCATTAGTTCTTAGTTTTCTTTTCCCAACTGCTTCAGTTTGGAACAAAAATTTCTGAGAAGGTGATTTTTGCATTCTACTTTTTTCACCATGAGGTTAGAACCGTATGGCATAGTAATCAATAGGCCATTTATGATACAAGAGTCGCCATCGCCAATCAGCATGTGATATTTAGCGCCATGTATTTCAACGCTTCTTTGGAAACCCTCCACTATTATGCCTTCTTCCATCGATGTAGCGCTGTCAGACCTCTAATATTCGACGAATTCGAGTAACTCGTCCCTGATATTACTGTCCCGTAATTCCTTGTCAAGCTCAGAGTCACTGAAAAATAAATAGAATGATAATAGTTTAAAATATACCAATCAAAGTATGATCACAGAATAAATAATACTACGTATGATACCTATGTGCAATAATATGTTATGTGGTAAGGTATGCGATCAAAGTAAATAAGTGTACTTACTTACCTGTTGATTTTAGAAGTCAGCGTTACCCATCCTTTCGATTTACGAAAAAAAGAATGAATTTTTCTTCGTTTTGTTGATGAACGCAATCGACTTTTTTTTCCTCGTCTATAATCTTTACCTTGCATTCTAAAAGGTATAAAATAATTTAATTTGAATGAATATAATAATCATCGTAAAAACTGGCATTTACCTTAGGCAGGTATAGATAGGTAGAT